AAGCCCAAATGGTTGGGTATCAAGCCCAAGGGCTTAAGACACCTAAATATTATGGTTTAAGTGTCATAAGGCCCAATTTTGGAAGCCCAATGGGTTTTGGCCGAAAATGCTTAAGTAAGTATGTATGGGAATTGTTTCCATAAGCTGATTTACACACAAACACAATCCAACTTCAACAAAATAGGTTTGGGAGATCAAAGAGAGATAAAAGAGAGTTTTCAAGAGTGAAATACTTTCATCTTTCAAAGTGGTTTAGATTGAAACCAATCTTGAGAATCTTGCACTAGCATCCAAGTATTCTCAAGATACTTCTTCTCATCTCAAGGTTCCATTGGTGTGGAGACTTAGAGGCCATATACTTTTGTGGCTCACATGGAGGAGAAAGATTAAGGAGCAAAGATCAAAGAGGAGATCAACAAAGAGGAAATCATCAAGAGAAGACTAAACACAAATTGGTTCATATAATTGCTTCAAGGGTAATTAGATCTTATCCTTTCTCTTGAATTTTCATTTATGAAAAACATATCAATGTTCATGGCTTAAGATACTTGGAAGAAGTTTTGTTTTTGAATTTAAACAACCACCTTAGACTTCCGCTGCGATTAATTTGATTAAATGCATGTTTAATATTCAAATGAACTTTGGAAAAATGTTTTGAAATTCCTACAAGACGTGCATTACAAATATGATTTCATAGCAAACAAGCAGTGTTATTACCCTAGACTGGAACTTTACAGTTGTAGATGTGCATTAGAAATAGGATTTCATAGCAAACAAGCAGTGTTATTATCCTATGCTGGAACTTTACAGTGGTAGACATGCATTAGAAATAGGATTTCATTGCAAACAAGCAGTGTTATTACCCTATACTGGAACTTTACAGTGATAAACAGAAAAAACACGAATATACTCAGATTCAACTGAAAAAGCATGCCTCAATTAATATGAAAACCAAATCAAATATCACAAATTTCTAACCACAGCTCAGACAACAAATCCACAACCAAACAGAATCTGAAATCAATCCAAATTATAAACAAAAAGAAATTAAAATCACAATTTAAAACTCAAACGAATATCTAAGTACAAATTAGAACGAAATCAGAAAATCCAATAGCTTACCTCCAAATCAGCAATAACAAAAATAAACAGATAAAATCAAGAAGAATTGTATCTGCATGTCAAATTTAAACTCCAACACTGCAAAAATTTAAAACGAAAACCTAATCAGCAACTTAATTAATCAAACATGAAATCACCATACAAACTAAGTCGTTGAATTTAAAACGTTCATAAGCCAAACACAAACAGAAAACACAACGATTCATACAATAAACACTAGAAAAATACTGAAATGAGAAATCATCATAAGAATCAACTGTGAAAATACGTACATCAGATGCGTTACTGATGAGCTCACGGAGAAAGATCTCCTTCTTGTTGTAATAGGTGTTGATGATCAAACTCAGAAGCTAGTTGATCTCATGGATCAGGACCCGAGTTCACCTCTTGAGTTGTAAAACGACGTTGCCGAGGTCGGCGTATCCAGCTCTTCAAAGGCGACCGCAGAGAGGAAGACGAAGCGGCAACCCCTCTGGCTCTGGAAGTATTGTCGTAGTCGGCATGGTTGAAAATCGGGAACACTGGACGGATCTGGCCATTTTGGAATATATCGTCGGTGGAAATTGGCGATCCGTCGAGATTGGTGCAGGTGAAAGAGAAATCGTCTTCATCTTTGTTCTTCTCGCAATCACCACCGGCGTCGGCGTTTTGAAAGCCTTCGTCCGACAATTGACACCTCAAATCTACAGAGTAGCCACAGAACTCCGCGAGCTTAACCATTTGCCCTGTTCATATCGAAAAAATGGAAATTAGCACCAAATTCAACGAAGAAACTGAAATCAAGTCAAAATTCAAGTAAATTAAGCAAAAATCAAAAGGAAAATAACGAATTGAAGCAGATGGAACAAACCTGCAAAAGAAATGGAGGCATTGGCGGCGAGAACACGTGTGAGGCCACCGACGTAACGGAGATTGTCGTCGGTCTTGTGTTGGTCCATGGCTCTGAGACTGTTTGGTTTACTTTGAAGGCAACGAGAGGGAAGAAGGGAGAGAACAGAGGAGAGATGTGGGTTTGAAGGAGGAGAGGGGCTTGAGGCTTCAAACCTCAGGGAGTGGTTTTGTTGAATTTTAATGTTCTCTGCATTCTATAGATTCTAAACGAGATCCAAAACTAATTTAATGCTAAAAAGGGTAATAAAGGTATTTCATCTTTGTGTTCATTCATTCTGTATTTCTTCAAAGTATCACTTTCTATTGGCTTAAAGCATGTGTAATGCATGCTTGTCAATTGTTGGTAAATCCGACAGGGTTTGTATATGTGTGGGTTAAACTCAAACTCGAATGTTTGAAATTGTATTCTGAACACGAAATTTATTTTCCCCACATTTCATACTTTGCTATTGTTTCAAACACTAGAAAATAATATTGTATGAGAATTATATTTCCTCCACCTTATTTTACATTTGATTAATTTGATAAATTCAAATCCTAATTTGTTGAATAGTTTCCACTTAGGTTTAGTTGTCTCGTGCTAACACTTTGTGAGGGCAAGAGAGAGAAAAAATATATATTGAAAAATGGGCCTCTCATTATGCATAGCCATTGGTTGAGACCTATACAATTATGGGTTTAGTGGGCAATCTATGAATCAAAAAGACTATAACGAGGAGTTTAGAGTGATGAGCTTATTTGAGGGGTTCAATTCTACCATCAACAAATGTGAGGAAATCAACGGACTTAAACATCTTAAATGGTCTGATGGTGGGATTGAACCCCTCAAATAAGCTCCTCACTCTAAACTCCTCATTGTAGAAGCTCTCAATCTAAACATCTATGAATACAATCGCAAAATCTACTGCGACTAGTTTGATTATTTTTTTTGGTTGGAAGAGATACTTTATTTATTAAAAAAAAAAGTACCATAAAAGTGTACAATTGATAGCACTGGACCAGCCAAATATACCAAAATATATAAATGAAAAAAGATTTTGTCAATATACCAGATTCTCATATTTCAAACAAACAATTACACAATTTTGTTGGTCGAAAAGATATTCCGTACAATTAGTAGTAAAACTTTTTTTTATTTTATATAAATATAATATAATTATTATTTAAAAAAAAAACAATTTATCACCGCCATTAAAAAAGACTATTATTCGCTCGCTCTAGATTTTTCATTTTTATCCTTCGCCTGGAACCTTTTCCTCCTCCGCTGAAAGATCACCGAATCGAAGATCATCGAGGACCGTCAGACGAGGTGCTTCGGATTCGTTACCAGCAACATGCGAATGCGATCCAAGGAGGCCAGAACCTTGATTTGAGGGTTAGTGTTCTTCTCCGATGTTAGAGCCGGTGTTCTTTTGCTATCTTAGTGTCACCTAATTTTATATTGCGATGTTAAGGTTAGCAAGCGCTCCTTTTCCATTGCGATATTAGCGTTGTTTTGCGACTGCTAGGGTCAGATAGCTTTCTTTTGCGGTTGCAATGGTAGGGTTAATTAGCGTTCATTTGCGATTGCAGTGTTAGGGTTAGCTAGCGTTCTTTTGCAATTCTATGTTAGGGTTAGCTAGTGTTCTTTTGCGATTGCGATGTTACGGCCAGCTAATGTTCTTCTGTGATTTTAGTGTTTTTCTATGATGTTTAGTGTTCTGCGATGTAAATGATAGAGGGGCTTTGCATGTATCAGGTGTGGCTTTTTTCAATGTTGTTTATAAACCGTGGCCCATAGACAAAGTGAAAATAATTTCGTTTGTTGCAGACATCTGGTCTTTTTGGTTGTGCCCTTGCTCATTTTGCTCATTTTGGTGTGATGGACTTGCGGTGGTTCCCACGTATTTACCATAGGGTTAGTTTACATATTTTTATAACATGGTTTGATGTATAAACATTTGGCTTATCCCTCCCTCTCCTCCCATCTATTTCAGGTAATCACTTTTTCATCATGTCAGGTGACCATGGGAACAACATGGGAGGCAACCTCACCACTAGCTTTACAGATCACGATGACCGATTTGCACATTTACACCTTTTGTAATTATTAAAGGTTGGTCTCTATCAAACATAGTCAATATATTTATTGAATGGGAATATATATGCTGGTTTTGATACTCAAAATGTGCCGAGACTACCATATTCAGTTCTGGTGTCAATGGTTGAGCATTAATAATATTTAGTACAGTAAATCTATGTATGATATTATATCCCATAGTAACTGCTGTTATGGACCTCCCATAATTTTCATTGTCTATTGAGAATTTCCTTTGTATTCTGATTCACCAATTGTAGCATTTGGGGTGGTCATTGCCACCCCAAATATTCTTCCAAAAAGTTTTCTATGTCTTTGTGTTTTAACTAAATAAAAAATTTCTCTTCCTTTTGGCTTATTTTATTGGTATGACAAGTTTGATGTCCTGTCATATTTCGTAGTTGGTATACATAAATATTAATATGATAAGACATCCTATCAGCTTTTATTCTTTGAAGATATCAAAAACTTCAATTTTTTGTTTATATGATAAAACACTCCAATTTATTTTTTGAAGCTACGGGAAACTTTAAATTGGTGTGCGAGTTAAGTCCATCCATTCCTTTAAGATTTCGTATTAACCCTGCAACCTTTAGAATGTTCAACTGCCTAAAGTTTGTTACGGCCTATCTTATTTTTGTGAAATTTCTGCTTATCACCACTATGGTTTTGACTTTTTCTGCTTTACAAGTGGAGTCAGAACACGAGTACTACTGTGATTTTAATGGAAGAGTAGCTTCCAAAGTTCACATTGATGAAGCTAAACTATTGAACTTTCAGTATGATAAGATTCAGAACAGATTTTGAATTGCAAAGGAATGAGAATTTACGGGGTATAGGCATTCACAGTGATATGTTGTTTCATTTTTTCACGAAATTTTAACTAGTCATTGATGAACTGATGTCAATTCTTTCTTTTGCAGAATTCGCACTGCCAGACAAATAATTTAATTAGTGGATATCGACTGTTTTGTCACTGAATCAGGTAAATTGCTTGTTCCTCTATTATTTTTGGCCTGCTTTCAATTGTGACGTTTGAAAACTGAGTTTTGTCTTGCAGGAATTTTTTTTTTCCCGGAAGTAACTGCCTGCCAGTGCTGCAGCTTAATGCAATTGATCTTTACCAGATGAAACTTTAGGATGAAGAAGCTGAGTCCGTGGAACTTAAGTCAAATTTCTTCATTCTTTCCGGGGAAAATGTTCTGTAATGTTTCTCTTTCTTCGTCTGTCATGGTTCAACGTATTGGACCAATAAGGCAATGGGCTTAAATATCCGGGGTTCCTATTTAGACGGGCCCCATATTATTCCAACAACTAATATTGCAGGGAGGCTAGAATGCAAGAATTCTATAGTGAGGGCCTTATATATGGCCTTTAGGTAAGGTCCTATCTCTTCACGATCCAACGGTTAAGAGATAGGAACTCACCCAAGGTATAAGGTCTTCACTATAGAATTTTTGCAACATAGCCCCTCATTATAGAAGCTCCCGTAATATTGACCAAAAATTTATAACGACGCCCAATTGGAGGGCCAAAAGTTGTAAGCAAGCTCTATAAAAAGTGATTCTAAAACTTTTCGAGGCCCAATCCATTAGATTGACAAAATTAACAAGGTACAACAGATTTGAAACGGCACAGATGTAGGACCAATAAAATGAAGAGGGATTCTCGGCCAAATAACGTTAAAAGGGACAGTAACGAGAGAATGGGCCAAAACGTCGGCCGAATAATGGGAAACAACCACGAAGGCCTGACCCATAACGTCGAAAAATGTCCAGAAGGTTGCACAAAAATCTGAAAAAGACCCAAACGTAGACCCAATAACGTGAAAATGGGCCCAGAAGGCGTCCCAATAATATGAAAGAAGGCCTAATACAGGGAAAACAGGTTCAGAAGTTGGCCCAATAACGCAAAGCTGGATCATAAGCCGGCCCAATAACGTTTAACTGGCCCAAACGTCGGCCCAATAACATTAAAACTGGACCGGAAGGCGGCCCAATTACGTTTAACAGGCCCAAATGTTGGGCCAATAGCGCGAAAATAGGCCCAGAGAGGGAAAACAGGCCCAAGAGAGGCCCATAGAGGGTAAACAGGCCCAAAAGTCGGGCCAACAACGTGAGGACATGCGCAAAAAAGGCCCAATAAGTTGATAACGGGTCCAGAAGAAAGCCCAAGATGTGAAAGCAGGCCCATCAGTAGGCCCAATTACTTTAATTCAGGCCCATACACAGCCTAAAAACGTCAAACAGGCCCAAATTTCGACTTAAATTATGGCTAAACAGGCCCAAACGTCATTCCAACAATGTGATAACGGGAGCTTCTATAATGAGGAGGTAGAGTGAGGAGCTTATTTGAGGAGGCCCATCTCACCATCAAAAGGGGTGTGGACCCCCCAATGCACCCCCCCATGTACTTTGTTTTTGGTTGTTGATGGTGAAATTTCACCTCCTCAAATAAGCTCCTCACTCAACCTCCTCATTTTAGCATTTCCGATGTGATAACAGGCCTTACAGCGGGCCAAACTACTTATACGTTTAAACTATTTTGAGCCACAATGCTTTCATGGGCCGAAAATATTTCAGAGACCACTTCGATAGTGAATTAATATTGGAGTCGTTTTATGGTGAGATTATCATATACGGACCTTATATGTGGATCTCCATATTAACTACATGATCCATCTGAATAGCAACTCCACTCAAATTTAATGAAATGATCATGTGACTAATATGAAGATCCGGAGGGTTCATATATGACACCCTCACTATAGAATTAGTAGGCTGGAGGCCCAAAAATATTGACAAGCCCAGCAAACCTTTGGGCCTATTTTATTTCCGAGCGGCTCACAAAAGAAAAAGAAAACCATGCATACAAAGAATAATTACAATCCGCGGCACTAAAATAAAAGAATTTATTTTTACCCAAAAAATATTGAAATTATATTACAGACTTTTTTTGATTGAAATGAGATCAAATTAATCAAAAAAACAAAAGGGAGTTTGAGGCGAAGTCCTGCTAGCTTGTGGTTTCAGATATCCTGGGGGAAAAAACAGTTAAACAATTAATAAATTATAACCATCAGAATTAATAACAATTGAAATAAGACTGAAATAAACCAGATAGTAGTTGAACCGAAGCACATAACTCAGGAACGTAATGAATGTGCAAGTGTACAACACAGCAAACAAACTCTTTGGACAAAGTGGACGAACTCTTTGGACAAAGTGTTAAAATGCAACAAATGGGAATCTCAGGAAGTAATGTCAATAACCAAAAAGGAACATAGAACAACAGGTTCTTTTATTTTAAATGCAAGAGGTTGCAACTCATAGGAATAACATTTTGGTGTAGGGATAAGGATAACTACTGAATCTTAAAGATCACAAACCAGAGCACAACATACTGAAGAAACATTTTAAAATACTCTATTACTACATTTGTATATTCATAACTTTCATTTTAAACAAAAATTAACTACCAAAATGAATAACTGCTAATACACAGAAATTATTATATCTTCCAACTTTTACCAATCCAAAGGTAAATGTCAATAGATAAAATAAAAAAAATTATAAACAGTTATGATGAGATACTAGTAAATGAGAGAGAGAGAGAGAGAGAGAGAGACTTCTCTTCTACTAGTAAATGAGTATAGAAACCTGAAACACTTCCTAAAATTATAACTGCCAATCTATCCTCGGTATACATTTGACAATGCGGGCAGATAAATTTTAGCACCGTGAAATTTACGCCACCAAAATTTATTTCCATGCTAATAACCTATAAACATTGCTTGGGTGTATAGATGCAAAAGAAAATACAGAGAACTTCTGAGACTCCTCTCCATTCTCATCCTAACTTGAAAAGTTAAGACTGACATTGCCTAGAACAGTGAGTTTGAATAAGGCACTAACCCATTTATGATTTTTCACGTTCTAATGTCTTTCACCTCATGTTACATTCAAAGTTAGAGAAGCACCGTCATCTAAACATCAAGTGGTCGAATATAATAGTTATGCATGCTTACTAGACCATCCGATTTTGCCACAAATGATTAATTTTAAATTCACCAAACAACTGTGTATCAATGATGTAATGTCACAATGTTACTGATTCTATATGTAAGATACCATCCCCACTCCCTCATATCAAGCCTCTAGCTGATACATTATTCAACAAAAATATGCCATTTCAAAGCGCACCCATTCAAGTGTGCCAATTTTGTTTTTGTCAGATGTTTCGTTCACGTTTTCAACAATACTATGCTATTTGCCCCTGAAAACTTATTTCTGTTCATTTTGTATCCGCTTAAAAAAATATATATAATTAACAAAAGAAAAAACATCTACATGCTTGAATGAGCTAGGAGTAAAACCTTAAAAGATATGGAAGACCCGCGTTCAGTGCCTCTATCAATCCACATCACATCTTGAGCAAGCTGCCATGGAGTGTAACTGAAATGGAAGCAAACAGCAAACGCATTAATGCATTGAATTAAAGACTGACAATGCCTTAGCCCTATCGCTCCATCAAATCAAAATCAATGATCTCGCTAAACCATAACCTAAGTAAACTCTAAATTTCAAAATCAACTTTGACGGGTCCTGGAACCCCCATACCTTGCCCCATTAGATCTCTGGTGTCGGTGTTATTTACTGCACGATTTCAAGTGTAAGTTCTTGAACCATGGGGGCCATCGAGGTGTTAAACCTCGCAAAACAAGAATCGGATTGGAGGAGCTTTTCTTGCCTCGTCGCCTTTCTTCATGCTCATGTCTCTGATCTCCAACGAAGGCTCCGATCACAGAGCCAATGCCATTGTGCGGCCCGGGGAGCGTTTCTTCTTTGGCATAGATCTGAGGCTTCGTTCTGAGGGTTTAGGGTTTCCTGATCTTCTTCCCTCTCTGTGTCTCATCTTTTCATTTTCTCAGATCTGCTCAGTTTCGTTTAAGGTTTTGTGATTTGTAAGATCAGGTGCCCTTTTTGGACAGGAAAGGTTTTGTCGCACTCCTTTCTGCATCATTCGATGTCGTTTCGATTTTGTTTTAGTGGACTGGACCTGTTTGCTTAATTGCCTCTTGACCCTAGACTCGGCCGCGTGCCTGGGTTCGAAATTGAATACGCATTGGGCCATTCTCTTATAATAGTCCAGTAGTGATAGCCTTTTTGCGACATGTCGTGTAAGTGGACTTATGACTCACGGTTATTGAAAAATATTATAATAAGTGATCTATAACATTTGATTAAAAAACTATGACCAAGGTCCAAACCATATCATATCTTTCTATTATGTTTTTTTGTTGACATTGTCATATCATATCAAACTTGAAATCCAATGTGTCATTAAAAGCCAAATAATGGTTTTCTTTGCACGACCTTCCTTAACCACTCTAGTCAGTCTAACCAAAACCAAGGTAAGATTTGGAGTTTAACTAAAACAATGATCGTGAATGGATAAGCTTGGAGACAAACCAAATTATTTTAATTCTAATCCGCATCATCAAATTTTCACATGATTTCCTTTTATTTCAATCAATGTATAGAACCACTAAGATGAAGGATCGAGAATTATAAAATACTACAGTAGTATGGTTATATTTTGTACACGTGTTATAATATTGGTAAATGACATAGTTTATTAAACCTCATTTTAGAGAATAGTATCAATAAATATTCACTTATTTTATAACACGTGTACAAAATGTATTACATGACCGTACTATCGTATTATGCTATAATCACTCTAAAAATTGATATAATATTATTTCTAGAAAAAGCACAGTTGAAAGGCCGCATTTATTTAATTTTTATTATTTTTAATTAGAGGACCCCAGAGAAAATTGTGGCGGTAGAAGCACCAAGAGGAAGGGACAAATGGAACTTTAGGTGGCTTAACTTAAAAGAGAGAACATGATGGACCCCACACAAAAATGTGTGGGGGGGAATGAAATTAGTGTTTATCCACAAATGTGCAGCCATGTCCATCCAATGGCAATGGGGATTTAGAAAAGCCTCATTTTGCTTATTTTCAATCATTCATGGATCGTTTGTTTTGGAACTTTTTCGTAGAGTGTGATGTGGTGCGGATTTGGTGCAACAACAAGTCGTCTCTTCCTATCAACACAATGCCCTTTCAGGTTCCCTTCAAATAAAAGAAATCCAAGCAAAATATGATACGTATTATCAAAGACAAAGAAACAAATAAAATGAATTATTTATGAGCAATTTTTTTTTTTGGGTGAAAACCAAGGTATCCTCCGCGCGATTGCGGGGACTAACCCTCGAGGTACTGTCGGGCGCAAAGCGGGGACCTCTCCCAACAAAGTCTGCTCTATTCGCAAGCGCCTGGGATCGAACCCAGGACCTCTTGTTTAAAGGATCCAAGCCCCTTCCCAAGACCTCTTGTTTATGAGCAATTTTTAACTTAAGTGATTAAGAAGAATTATTCACATACTTAATGTTATAAACTTATAGTTTATCAAAAAAAACTAAATTCTAAAATAACCACTAATGGGAAGAAAAAGAAACTAAAATCTAGCATCACCCCCACAAGACCACAACCCAAAAAGAAGGAAAACTTCCCTATCCAGAAAATATTTCAAATAAATTTGTAATTTTAAGGACCCCACAGAATATAATCATCCACATTGCCATAACCAATACAGAGATTCTCCAACTCAGCATTCATAATACAACATTGCCATTAGTAATTAATAAATAAATAATTATAATTATAATTATATTCAGGCTAAAAACCAAAATGATAGTAATTAATATCCACACACACACACACACAAAAAGAAAAAAACTTTTCTAATTTGAAGGATCCAAATCAGCTAAAATCCTTGACCCAAAAAAACGCAGATAAAGACCCAAAGAGACAATAGGACAGAGAAACAGAGAAAGGGAGAAAACAGAAGGGGAGAGAGATGGATAGGATGTTCTCAGTGGAGGAAATGTCTGACCAGCTGTGGTCTTCTTCAGCACCACCAGTCAATGAAGCAGACGACGATTTGTCCAAAATGAACCGGAGCGCATCGGAGTGGGCCTTCCAGCGCTTTCTCCAAGAAGCCTCTCCCTACTCACCATCGCCCTCACCACCACAGCCACCTCCACCTCCTTCTTCTTCTTCTTCTTCAACTCACCATGACCAGAACGACGTCGCAGAGATCAAGATGATCAATGCCCACCACCCCAATCCCACTCACGCCCCTAACAACAGCAGCAACAACTATAATAGCAATAATACGCCGTCGTTTAGCCTGCAACCACCTAATGTTCCCGTTGATTCCGAAGAGTACCAGGCCTTCCTCAAGACCAAGCTCAATCTCGCCTGCGCTGCTGTGGCCTTGTCTCGCGTAAAGGTTCGTGTTTTTTTTTATTCTCCTTCTTGTCATTTTTTATCTTCGTTCGGTTGCCGAGAAATATGATCGAAGTCAAATCAGTGGTTCGAGAATGAGATCCTCTTTGGATGCTCAGAAAACTAAAGGAAAGAAACTGAACTGGAACTTGGAAATTTCTTGAATTTGGTTTTGTCTGTGAGTGTAAAGTTTAGCTCAAGTTAGCTGCTTTATAGTTTGGTTAGCCTCAAGTAAGATTTTCTTACTGTATATATTTAAAAAAAATTATTGGATTTTGATTAATTACTGAAAATTGCAATATTCAAATTCCTTTTTTTGTTCCTTTTTGGTTTTGTTCTTCTAGCATTTTCTCGGTATCCAAACAATAAAGTTTATAACTGATTGGTTGGTTTGCATTTTCTCACTCTTTCCCTGGGTAAAACAGACGGTGAAAATTGTTTGATAAGCTTGAATATTGTTTGAAACTGAGCCAAAATGTAAAGGTAAAAAAGAATACTTTAACTTGGAAGTTGAACCTTTCTTTTGTTGTGGATTTGTGGGACCTTCATGGTAATAGTAAAAGTAACTTCTGCAATAAAAGGATGAATTGTTTGGAAGAAAAAGCAGGGCTACAGCCTAAACACAAAGACATGAATTATGTATGAGAAGAGTAGTAGTACTTTGTTTGTTTAAAGATCGACCCAAGCAAGGCAAGGAATCTACACAAATTATAAAACTTACTCAAACAAGTATAAAATAGAATTCAAAACCATGCTCCAGTTCTTTATGCTTTTCTCAAACATAAAACTTAAAGTCCCAAAAGTTGCAGTGTGACCAGGTTCTTCGTCTCATGATATATCATTCTTCCTACCTGAGAATTCTCTTTTGACCTTCATTTCTCTATTAAGTTAAACTAAATCCATGTAAGTACCGGAGCATGGTTTTGAAGTCCGAGTGAGATTGAATGGATGCGGATGTATTTGCCCAAGGGACTATCTGTAGTAGGGATTCAAAAATCATGTATTTCCTTCAAATGCTTGAAGCCTGAATCAACATTATTAGATCAATGTCTTTGCCCAATGGGATACTTATAGTAGCATGCCTTAGCAAATTAAAAGCCTTCATCTGGTTCATCTGATTAAATGGAATCGTAAGGATTCTGTTCAGCTGAACTATAAAGGTCTTTCGGATTATGCAGCATGTTAGCGATGACTTTGGCCCTGAAGGATGAGAGATCAATCTGTTCAGAGTGACATGAGAGAGTAACTTCACATATTTAGCAAGGCATGCTGGTCTTTGAATGATAAATGTGCAATCCAGTCTCATATTTGTCAGCATATATGATTTATATCATTCTTTGTCAGAATATGATTTATACTTTTTAGTTCATCTTTGGTTGAAATAGATTTGAAACCATGTTTTTTTTATCTGTATAGATAAACGCTAGCTGATCTATTCTGGTCGTGTGAATAGGGATCTTTGGCGGACAGTCAAGATTCTGCTGCTTTAGCTGGCAGTGGATCACAGGCTTCCGATACTTCACATTTGGGATCTCAAGCCCCTTCAAAAGGTTTGCATCTCTCTTTTTATGTATTTAGTTATTTGAATCACAAGTCTCATATAGTAGGTCATTTGATCATGTTCTTTCTACTTTTCTGTGAGATAAAGCTGTTCCACTGAGTACCTAAAGAGTCAGGTATGTCATGATAAGTGAAAAGTTATGCACTTAGAATATCACTCTTTTTCCTATTACCTACGTAGGAGCTGGGTATGATTTATCCAGGCCGCATGATAAGAATGCTAATGCACCAGTTGGCATTCCTTCATTACCTGCAACACAACATAGATCTGCGGTTCCCGTAAGGCAAGCAACTAGTGGATCATCAAGAGAACTGTCAGATGATGAGGACATTGAAGGAGAAACTGCAATGACTGAGAATATGGACCCTGCTGATGTGAAACGTGTGAGGAGGTAACAATGTTATCTGCTTTTCTGATTGTAAAAATGATTATGACGCATTACATGATAGGTTTACAAAAACTCAATTATTTAAAGCACAAATTTGTTCACGTGAGACCTAAAATAAGCACATTAATCTCCATCTCTTGATTAATGAGTTCGTTTGCTTCAAACTCATTTGGTTCCTTTCTCTTCCACTAAATCATCTGGTCTTTTCCAGAATGCTCTCTAATAGAGAGTCAGCTAGACGCTCAAGAAGAAGAAAGCAGGCCCATTTGAGTGAGCTTGAGGCACAGGTTTGGTCCTTCTTTATTTATTTATTTTTTGGCTTCCGATTTCACTTGCCATCTCTTTTAGTCCCTTGTTTTTGCATTTTTTTTTTGTCCTTTGATCTTCTATAGATTTCCTAACCCAATGTTCTTTATAGGCATCTCAATTAAGAGTTGAGAACTCCTCTCTATTGAAGCGTCTGACTGATGCAGACCGAAAGTACAATGAAGCAGCTGTTGACAATAGAGTTTTAAAAGCTGATATTGAAACATTGAGAGCAAAGGTAAGCTTGTTATCAGTACCGCTTGCTAACTGCTTTCCTAGGCAGGCTCCTAGAATTGCAAGATGAGGATCAAAACCCACTGATAATGATTACCAGTTTTTCTTTCTTTGGAGAAAAGAAACAAGTATTGGTTCAAGATGAAGC